AATATTCAAGTAAGGATGAGTAGAGTGGATGCTATGCTAAGGATCAACTCCCTTTTTCGCATGCCGGGTTGGTCACCTTTGTGGAAAAGGTGTGCTACGGGTTTTTCTTCACCATGTGTCGGGAGACGACAGACATACACGACCACACCGTGTTTACCTCTTTGTGGTCTCGTCTTTCGAAGGCTCCGCTCCCATGCAGAAACATTTTTCGGTCGACGATGTTCGGTATAAGATTCAGTCACTTAAGAACTACTACCATGCATTTTGGATGTACTTGTGGTTGCCCAGGGTTCGTGTGCTCGACGAGGAAGGGATTGTCGTGCGTCAACCCCACTTACTGGGCCACAGTTGGAGAGGTACTTTCTATCTCAAACATAATGACTCTTTTGTTGGAGACACGAATTTACATTTTCTTATTTAGCCTATTTTTTGTGAATGATTTGTCATTGCGTGTTAATTTATCTCATTTTGCTGTTTTGTGGACCATTTCGTAAGGCGTCAAAATGAGATTTTTATATATTTTTTATGGAGCATTTCGATATAAATAAGTGGAGCATGATTTTTAGTGCTTATCTTTATTCTTTTAATTAAGTGCAGTGAAGCATGATTATTATGCCTTATAATTTTTATTATGTCAAGTTATCTCGTTTTGGTGTAGTGAATCAAGAATTTTATGACAAGACATAAGTTTAGTGTCTCTGTTTGTTGCTTAATTTCATTGACTTAAGGACCATCTCAAACATAATTACTCATTTGTTGGAGACATGAAATCACATTTCTTATTTACCCTGCTTTTTGAGAATGATTTTTCATTGTGTGTTAATGTTTAAAAATTAGATGTATATAATTATCTTTTTTATGGAGCGACTCGGTGTAAGAAAGTGGAACAAGTTTTTTATTACTTGTCTTTATTCTTTTGCTTAGGTGTTTTGGAGCATGATTATTGTGCCTTATATTTTGTTATTATGTCAAATTTTCTCATTTCAGTGTAGTGAAGCATGAATTTAATGACAATGCAAAAGTTCAGTGTCACTGTTTTTTGCCAAATTTCATTGACTTAAATAGAAAGTTGTTAAAAATGTAATGGGATAGTTACATACTTGTTATGAGGTCATGTTTAAGGTGTTGACTTAACACAATCACTTGTTGAGTAATTTGTTTATTTAAGTCGAATATACATTGATCATTTATATTGTTTAATCGATCTGAAGTTGTTTAATTATTAATAAGTCGAGCAAATTGTAATTTTTATGAAAGGTAACGAAATACGAATACTTCTTCCGCTCTTTTGGCATGCTTTGGTACAACAACTGCAAAGAGGTGTTTCACATTCATCAAGCGGCCGACATTCACCTCGGAGAGGGCAGGCTGGATCGTCCATTCATCAACTGATCATCCTTGACGAGCCCAAACCAGAACAACCCGAGGAATTGGACATGGATGCGGTCGAGCTTGACCTGGCTGCCATCGAGGGGCTGAAGTTGGAGATGGAGTGAAGGTTGTGGTCGAGGTTGGCTGAGCTTGGATGTTGCCCAAAGAATTGGCTACTCTAATGGTTTGATGTTTAATTTGGAATAATTACATTTGCTTGGCTGCGTTTTGCTAATGACAACTAAATATGTTTAATGTGGTTTTGTGATTGTGGTTGTATGGGACTATGGGGATGCAATATGAACAATGTTTTGGATGAATTACTACTTATTTTTGTGATCCTATTAATCAAAATATTTGAATTTGGTGTTTCAATAATAATAATAATAATAATAATAATAATACTAGAAGTGCATGTCTGTCAAAGTTTGTAAATATGGATGTCGTTCACAAAAAAATTAAAATTCAAATGAAAATAAACCATGAAGGTGTAATAGATGTCGAGGTAACACGTACACAATTGCGAAGAAAATGCATTCCAAGTGAAATTGCAATCCGAAAAAGCATACATAAGACATTACTTTAAGTCATAAAATCCAAAATAGAATCATTGTTTTATGATAACAAAAAACATGAAGTATGCAAATAGATAATTAGGGATACAAAGCAAGATTATAAAATGAAAAGAAATGCTCGAGTGTGTGGGTCACTTGAGGATCCCTTGCAAGAACCTAGCCCAAGCTTTCGAGGAGGATGTGGAATGTGCAACGAGGTTTTACATCAAGCCCTTTGAATTAAAAAATATGGGTACTTGTGTTAACCAAGCATTCTGAAAACTCATCACGTGATGGTACCTTTCCAATAGAAGTTTGATGAAGCACATTGTTGTGAGGCATGTGAAATACAACATTTGATCGGTTTGGTCGGTTCGGCTTGTACCCCTCGTTCATAGAATTTTGGTCCAACGCCGGGCTTGGAGTGGAAGCATAAACATCAACAAACAAATAACGTAGCTCATCCTGTAAGAAAAAAAAAACAAAAATGAAAATTAGTTGGAGTTGGAACATAAAAATGATAAAACATAATTATCTTTCATCATGTAAATACGGGTAAAATAAATAAATAAATAAATAACATCGACGTGTTGATCAATGCTTAAGCGAAAATTGTTTATTTGTAACCTTAATGACTACCTTGAAAATGTAATCCCAAACTGCAATAGATGCAGTCTGTTTGTCCCATTTTTGTTGTACTTTTCATGCTTGTTTTGCTTTTCTTTTTCCCCCATCGTTTCTTTTGTTTTTAATCCGTTTCGTATCTTATGATGTGTTTTTCTTGATCTTGAGTCTTTAGATGTTTTTTTGTTTGTTTTCCCGGTTTTCTTCGTGTTTTGTCGTTTTTGGTGTGTTGGTCGGGAGCTTCGGGCAAATTTTATCTTCAGCAAAAGTTTTTTTATGAGCACATAGTTTAATAGAGGGGTTCGTTGGCGACGCATAGCAAAAAACGGAACTCAATTCCGAGTTCGGACGAGCCCAAACGAGCCCGAAACATAAAATTACGCAGTGTGTTGTCAGTATTTTTACCGGAGTTGAATCGAAAGACTCGTCCCCGGGTCGTATCGCAAGGAAGGTTAGCCGGATACTCTTGTGTGTATATTCAATCACGAAAAAGAGAAAAAGAATTCCTAAACACTCTAATTCAATATTTTTGGGTTCTGATTATCAACTACTGATTTAAACTGAATAAAATGAAAGCAAATAGCAAATAACTTTACTGAATGATTAAAGTGCTAGGGAGTCGGGGATAATTGCTTTCGGTTCTAACACAATCACTGGCAATCGATTGCTCGGTTAAAGGTCTTGAATCGTCTCTCGTCCAGAGGTTCACTCTCAATAACTCTTCGTAACTAGAGAGTGAATGTAAACGATCAACTATCAATTCCAGCAACACAAAGATTATACGCTTCCGAACAAATCTATTCTAAACGAGCCTAATTCTACCAACGTCTCCCCTCTCAGTTCTACACGTTGATTATCTAGGTTAGAATAGTGATCAATCTACTAACCTTATGATTCACACAACTCGAATAGACATGAACAATCAAAAGCACTCAATTATACGAACCTAATCAATCATCCCCTATCCCTAGCGAATGGATTTAGCTACTCATAACGAATTTAACATCAACATTCAAATTAACCCAAGCCATCATCATCAACCAAGCTATTGAGAAAAATAACTTACGATTAATATAGAGAATCCAACGTCAAATCCAAGTGCATTCAAATCCAAGCAAGAAATAGGAGTTTGTCAATCTCCAAAACACATCAAAAGTGCAAAAGAAAGAAAAGGAATGAGTTTCTCTTGCCCAAGAACGTAAGAAACAAAGTCTGAAGATGAATAATGAACCCTAGGATCGAAATCAGCATTAAAAATCTCGTCCTCGAAATTCGCGCCGGTAAAGTCGCGACTCTCGCGAGATAGTCAATAGCTCCGTCGCGAGTCGCGACTTCCTCGTGAGTCGCGCGTCTTCAAAATGATACGTTTCTGGGGTTGGTCGCGACATGGGTCGCGAGTCGCGACTCCTTCTCGCGAGTCGCGACATGTTCTCGCGAGGCGCGACATCGTCTCGCAACTGCCTTTTAGCCCTAGTTTTTCTCGCGGGTCGCGATGAGTTCGCGAGTCGCGAGAATTTCTGGGCGCGTTTTCTGTCTGTTTTTTTAGTCCTCTTCGTCGTCTTCTGGGCTCGGCCACGAGAATTCTCGATATCACAGTCTCGGCACACGCAATCCTAACCTCAACCGGCACCACCTACCTCCTGAAAACACAAACACGGCAAAACACGAAGCAAAACACGGCAAAAAGATACAAAAATATAAACTAAAGGCAAAAACACAAAACGAATGAAATGGACCAAATAAGCGACGAAAAACCTACAAATGGGGGAAAACAAAAAGAAAATAAATATGAAATAAAGACACAAAAATGGGACAAACAACTCCCCCACACTAAGACCTTTGTTCGTCCCGAACAAAGAGAAAAGAAAAAAAAAAGAAAAGAGAAGACACAAAACAAAAACGAGCCTGGACATCAGTCGATAACAAGATAAGTCTCAACACGTTCAACTTCAACAATGAGCATTCAAATGGCATATACGAACATAACATGACTACATGCTTGATCGCTAAACTTCAATATGACGTCCACTCAAAAATGGGAATGTATATGTGTGCTTCACTCACTTTCTTATACAGATAAAAATATAGGATGCACTCAAATTGGTCGATAACAAGTTCAATCATAAGCTCGCCCATTGTCTAACTTCTACTCTAAACCAATCAAAATTGAAACAAGTGAATCAAAAGGTCTTTCAGGGTTGTAACGTAGGCTCTTTGGACAGGTAAGATAAATATAGGCTAAGTTGCTCGAATATAACTCAAACTCCTAACCCAAGAATGCACGCTCAACCGGTTACTCAAACAAACCGGATCTTCCCCCACACTTATCCTAACAGCACACGTTTTCACCCAACTTATTATTAAAAAAAAAACAATTAGGCTCAAAAGGGCAACTAGGGAATAACTGCAGAAAAAACAAGGATAGAAAGATACAAAAAAATGTTTTAATCATATTCACAGTTCACAACTCAAATTGATTCATTTTGATGCAGACTCAGGGCAAGCTCTAATCAAACGAGAGTACGACCAATGTATCTCAAGAAAGAAATAAGGCTCAAACCTCACTAGGCGAATATATGAATGTCAATCAAAGCCATTAACCAAGCAGTTCATCACGCTATGCCATACAATGCCAACATCACAACTCATCGAATCCATTAAACATGTCTCCACTAATCATGAATTTTCCAAGTACAGACTCTAAAACACATAAATCCTATACTAGACTGGTCCACAAGCAAAAGAAAGGAATAACACACCCTAAAACAAAGAAAAACTAGACATGGTCAATCATATAGCCACATAAACTCCCCCACACTTAAAAATCAGACAATGTCCCCATTGTCGATCCGCAGTGAAAGGAAGCCAGACTGACATAATCAACAGACACCACAAAAGAAAAGAGAAAATACAAAAAGAAATAAAATAAAGAGAAAAGAAAAAGAAAAGCTAACCAACACAGTGACAAGTCACTGTGGTCCATGAGGAGGAGAAGGAGGAGGTGGATAGGGCTGGCCGGTGCCGGAGTTTCACTGTGTGTAATGCGTGTCCCACTGGCTCTGCCACAGCTCAATAGCCTGAAAGCGGGCATTAATATCCCGCATGTCACGATCGTAGCGGTCCTCGTAAGCCGTCCACCACAGAGGAGGCTGGGACCACCAAGCGGGTGGGGCAGATGGCTCCGCTGGGCGCGGAGGCGAACGTGTGGGCCGTGGCTCCCAGGAATCAGCTTCTGGGGTCGGGTGCCAATCGTCAGGAGGCGGAAGGCGATGGTCCTCGTCGATAAGAGCCTGGTCGTGCTCCATCGCCTCCGTCTCGTGGGTATCCTCGGCCTCCTGCCGAGGACGAGACGACCCTGCTTCAGCCGCGGAGGCGGCCGCAGCCACCTTCTTCATGTAGGTGAGGTAGGCCGGGCGCTTCTCATAGATCTCAAAGGCGCGGCGATTAAGGAGGAGGCCCACATGACTGAGCTCGTAATAGTCAATGAAACGCATACGCGAAGGAAGGCTGCCAGACGCCGCCGGGTCGACCTTGAAGTGCAAAGCCAAAGCGGTCACTATATGACCAAAGCAAGCCGCCGCTCGCTTGTTCCGAATGATGGCTCGACACTCATCCTTAAAAATTTCCAACACGTCGCGCTACTTCCCCTCGAGCATAGCCCACAGCAGGGCGAGGTCAATCTGAGTGACCTTATTGGCCTCCTTCTTCCCGAACACACCATAGCACAAAAATTTGTGCATCACCGCGACAGCACCGTCCTTGATGAGGCTGTTGGGCATGCCCTGCGAGTCCCACACCGAGTCTGGAGAAAGTCGGGACCAGACAACATCAGACGACATCCCCAGAGTGATCCTATCGCCGCCTAGGCGGAGGCCAAGGACGTCTTTCATGATGTCGGCAGTAATGATCCTTTCCGTCCCAAGTAGACGGCACGTCATGTAGTCCTC